AATTTAAAAAATACTATCATTTATAAAGCACTAACCATGTTTTGACATTGGGCATATTTTATTTTTTATTAACTTATGTAAAATTGCCACAAACCTGAGGTGTTAGTAAGTCCACTTCACAGGGAACATTCAGACACAGATGATTACAAACTTGCCCGAGGTCATGAGCGGTCAGCCTTTGACTCCTCAGCCTCAGTTACCCTGTAGAGACTGGGAACAGGAGCTGTCCAATTAGATGACCAGGCCTGAAGTAGGGACTGGGAAGAAAGGAGAGATTCAGGAAGCATTCTGATGACCTTGGGATCATCCATTTGATGGAAGGTTGAGAGGGGGAGCCATCAGAGAAGAGAGTTGAAGCAAACTTTGCATTTTCTTGCTCTGCTTGGGGAACTGAGTAGATAGTGACATCATTAACTGAGATAAACCAGCACTGCATTTACATTCTGTGTTAAAGAGTTGGAATTTATTTAGCTGTTTCTCCAGCTTCACTGTGAAATATAAGAGGAAGAATCATGTACTCCTTTGCACACACAAATTTTTGTTGCTGTTGTTGGTGCTAGGGCTGGGATTCAGGGCATTGTTCTTGCTAGACAAGCTCATTGTCATTTGAGCCATGCCCCAACCCTTTTTTTTTTTTCTGGCAGTACTGGGGTTTGAACTCAGGGCTTCATGCTTGTTAGGAAGGTGCTCTACCATTTGAGCCACTCTGCCACCCCCAGCTCTTTTGCATTGTTTCTCAGAGAAGGTCTTTCACTTTTTCCCAGGCCAGCCTTGGACCATGATCCTCCTAACTCTACCTCCTGCATAGCTGGGATTAGAGACATGCAACATTATGGCTAGCCTTGGGTAAAACTTATTGACTGATAAATTATAACAAAGATTCTCAATGGAACTTGGAACATTGATGTCTGATTTCTTATCTACAAGGTAGCAAATTATTAGGTGTATATATAGCCTTAGAATAGCAATAAATATAACTCTCTTATTGATTAACTCCTTATGTGACAATTACTTACTGGTATCCATTATGTGTTGGCTTTCAAAGGTACAATGGTGAAGGCAGACAGACCCCAGTTCCTGCTGTTGGGGTAGTTTTATATTCAGGTAAGGGAGATAAGTGATAAATCAATAAAGAATGGAAAAATTAGCAAAAAATGGGAAGAAAGATAAATGGAGTTCTGTGGTAAATGATGCTGCAAGGTGCAGGTAACAAGGGTATTTAAGACATGAAAGATACAATTTTCATTCTAAGTGTGATGGGGAGAAATGAATGAGCCTGGAGTAAGGGAGTAACATCGTATGTTACAGTTTTTGTACTTTGCTCGGAATGCAATAACATGTAGTATGTGTAACATGTAAGAACATTCAGAGCAAGATTACAGGGACAGGAATGGAAGCAGAGAGGCTCATTAGGAGGGCCAGAGGCAAAGGGTGATGGTGGTGACTTAAATAAAGGTGAAAAAGAGGAAATGCCTTCATCTGTTTTCTGCTCTTATACCAGAATAGTAGAGTCTGCTGGGTTATTTATAAAGAAGAGAGGTTTATTTGGCTCATGGTTCTGAAGGATGGGAAGTCCAAGAGCATGACACAAGTATCTTCTTGGCTTCCAGTGAGAGCCTTGTGCTACATCATGACATACATAAAGAGGACTTGAAGCATGAGGGGTGGCCTCACTTTATGACAACCCACTCTCATGGTAACTAATCCCACTTGCTTTGTGGGTTTGCATTAACTCGGTCAGTCTCACTAGAGAGGCACTGTTCCTTCAAAGTACAGAGGAGGGCTGGTGGAGTGGCTCAAGTGGTAGAGCGCCTACCTAGCAAGCATGAGGCCCCAGAGTTCAAACCCCAGTACTACCAAAACAAAAACAAAAACAAAAACAAAAAAATAGAGAGGAGGAGAGAGAGAGAGAGAGAGAGACAGACAGACAGAGAGGCCCTCATGACCCAAACACCTGGTAAGTTCCCACTGCTTTCAACACTGTTACCAACATGAGTTTTGGAGGGACAAACCATATTCAAACCATAGCAGGAGACAAAGGGAAGTGGGTAGAAACTGAAACGTATTTTGGGAGAAGCTAGTAGACTTGTTAGACAGGGATGGACAGGACAAGGGAAAAATCACAGATGACCCCTGAGTGTCTAGTTTGAACAACTGGATAAACAGTGCTGTTGTTTATCAGTATCATGGTAACTAGAGGAAGAACAAACTTTTTGAAGGAAAATAATCCTTCAAATTTATACCTATGCATAAGTAAGCACAGTAAAGTTTATCAAAGTGTTTGAGACTGGGATTGTAAAAGCCTGATTTGTGTTACCACTAGGAACAATAACTTCTCTATTTCTTGTTTTTTCCCATCTGTAACTTGGGGATAATTATATGTGTCTTTACTACTCCAGAGAGATGCTGAAAAGATAAATGAGATAATATATGTAAAAGTACTTTGAAGTCTTGGGAGGATAAGAACTGTATATATCCAAGCTATCATTATTATGTTACAGAGCGTGTTTATATTTCTCATGTATCTGCCTAAAGACACAGGGGTCATAAGCATGACACACTCACATTCCTTTCTCTAAGTTCAGTTCCCAGAAATGAGATGAACACTTTTCTTTCCCCACTATCCCACCCTCTCTGGTATTCTGTTGAAAGGATTTTGTAGTTACTAGTATTTTAAGACCATGGAAAGAAAGGATAACTAAAACAACTCTGTCTAGGTAATTCTTAGCTGATAATGATAATAATATCTTACTTTAATAGAGATGTGCAGATTGCCAAGAACCAGCACAGCGTGTCATCAGTGTCAGTTGTCCAGTACCATTCTGGCTTTAAGTAACTTGCCCAAGACTTCTTTTTACAACTAGAGTAATTGTAAAAAATACAGTGAGTGTGCACCAGAGGCCTTCAAGAACTCAGCCCCGTCCCAGATGATTTTCTGGGAGGTATGTGCTGGTTTCTTTGATCACTGTAGTGGTGGGATACATTGTCTCCAATTCTCTAAAGATGGGTGTGACCACTGAATTTTTACCTATGGTTTCAGGAGCTGCACCCGTCTGCCTATGCCTTTCTGAGTTGCTCTCTTTAAGATACAACAACAAAATGGAAGTAAGAACAAAACAAAACTTGTCCTCTGCTCTCCAAAGTAATTACATGATAAACAGTTTTCTTTCCCCTGGAAGAGACACTGAATTAGCCCTAAGTTTTGCCTGGGATAGGGAATATGATGATATCTAAAAGTCAGGTCTTGGAATAGTGTGCAAAAAACTGGACTATGAATCAGGAGAGCTGAGGCTGAGTCGTGGTTCAACTCTATCTCTTTGTGATCTGGGAAAGGAAGTTAACCTGTGTGAGTTTCAGTTTTATTAACTGTACCTGGATGTAATAATTGGATATCATAGCTCTATACGCACTGTCATTTCTCTAGTGAGCCTCACCTTCACATGCAGTTCCAGATGCAGAGCCAAATGGGCTAAATACTTTCAGAATGCCTTATTTGCAGAAAATCAGATTAGAAATTTCCATCCTGTCCATCCATTCTCTCCCTTATTTTTTCAGCTCAAATGCATGTGTACTTGCTGCCTTCTAAAGGAGAAAGAAAAGGGCAATTATTTTTGGTGTTCATACAGTGTGGTTCTCAGCACATTACTCTCTTTAAAACAAGACTTGGGAAGGATGACTTAAAGGGTTGCTGTGAGAATTGAGTTAATACATGTAAAGTGCTTAGCACAGTGCCTGGTTTACAGTGAGTGATAATGGTTACTTGCTATAATTTTTTCTTCCTTAATGTCATATTCATTTGTCTTGGATGGTTTAGCTGTGGCCCTGGGTGGAGACTAGAAGGATAACCTAAACCTCCTCTCCAAACCGGCAGCCTGCCCAGGGACTTCTTGCATAATCTCTGTAGGCCCTTCTTTTTATTTCTGCCCACTTTTGAGGAAAGATATTTGGGACTACTTTTGTAAATTGATGTTAAATGCAAATAAAATAATAACTTTGAGATTAACAGCATGATTTTAACTTGTTTTCCCTCTGAATTGGGTCTGAAAAACACTCCTCCAAACCCATGGCCACCCCGTTTTTCAAGGCCGCACTTCAGAGTTTACAGGTGGGTGCCTGGGGCAACAACAGATTACAGTGAGGGCGATGGCAGCCTCCCAGGCTCAGATAAAAGAGGTGCCTCCCAGCCAGCTCCCCGGCGCCAGCCCACCTGAGGCCACACGGGATCCTCTCCCATTTAATTTAGGACAGGTGTGGAGAGCCTCTCGAGGCTGGGTTGTAAACCCACACCTCCATCTTCCTCCTTTTGAGTTTCGGGCTCAGCATTCTCCACACTTGCTCGGTGTGGGTCGGGGACTGATACCCGGGTGCAGACAGACTGGGGAGCAATGCGCGGAGGAGGTGGCCCGGGACTGTCCCTTAATGAGTCTGTAAACAGCTTTTGCTCTGCCTGCCGAGCGCGTGGCCGGCCTGGGCTGGGCCAGCAGACGCCGCGCCGGTTGCAATCAGGGCCGATCCGGTCTTCCCCGCCCGGCCCCTTGGCGCCGGCACGGAGCAGTCGGTCTAGAGCCGCTGGGCACTGCGGGGCAGCGGCGGGCGGCAGGAGGACGCGGCTGACCCGTGTCCCCAGCTCCAGCCTTCCTTACTCAGCCGCCACTCCCAAAGCCATCCTCTCCAGTAGCTCCATTTTCCAGGCGTTTTGTCCTCAGGGAGAAGGCGTCTGTCCCCAAAGCTTCCTTCCCTGGGGACGCCGCTTCCCAGACGGCCATCTGGGCCCCGGGTCAGGCGCGCACAGGTAGCCGGGCGCGGCGGGCAGGCGCCCGGCCCGGGGGGAGGCGCTGTGGCGCGGACCGTCCCCTCGCGCCCCGGGCGCCGGCTGCGGCGCGGCCTCCGCCCCGTCCTCTCCCTCCGCCCTCCAGGACTGGGAAAGTGGGAGGCGGCGGCGGCGGCGTGCCGTGTGTGCGCGCGCGAGGGGGGCGACAGAGAGGAGTCTCCCGGTGCCACCGCGGCGACGGAGGCACAGCGCGCGGCGGGCGCGGCGGGGCCGCATCTGCATCGGCCACCGCCGCCGCTGCGGGGCCGCGAACAAAGAGGAGGAGCCGCGGCGCGAGGTAGGGCGCGCGGAGGGCGCGGGGCACCGAAGCCCGCCGACCCTCAACGCGGAGGAGCGGGGGTCGCGGATGCCCCACCCCGCCCGGGTCAGCCTCTGTCCCTCACTCTCTGGTCCCCGGGGACCGGCCACCTAGACCTGTGGGAACCGAGCCCGCGCGCGGCCTCTTCGCCTTCTCTCCCTGCAGGAAGCTGCCGGGGCTCCCTGGACGCAGCCCAGCACCTGGTGCCGCCCCGGGGGCTCGGTCTCTGGGGACTGTCGCTTCATCCCTGCGGGGTGATGGATCTGGCTTCTCCGTGGCACTCCGCGGGGATGAGTTTCGCAACTTAAGGCTGCACGTTTATTTTTAAGTCCTTGAAAACTTCCAGCAGTGGCGTGGGGAATTTTTCCTCGGCCTGACCTAAAGGGCGGCGGAGGTGAGGCAGACGGGTGAGCTCCCCATACCGGGACCGACCCGGCTGGGGCCCGGGACCGGGGGTCCTCCCGCAGCCGCCGATCCCTGGCTTCTGGCTCCGGGTTTGCTGTGAGCGTGAGGGGTCTGGGTACCTGCGCTCGGCTGCAGGGAGAGGGGCGCGCCCGGGACCTCTGCCCGACCTGCCAGGAACAGCTGTTCTGCTGCCACCCAGACCTGTGCAGTCCTTGTTCCTGGGCACTTGCCATTTACCTTGCTGCTGTTGCTGGGGAGGGGAGCGGGGAGAGAGAGCACAGCAACTGGCTTAAATGTTTTTCCTGAATGGTCCCATTTTCGTATTGCACTCACACTTTTCATCCAGCATTCCATTGTCGAATTCTTTGGGTGGTAATTTTGCTATATTTTCTGAATGGGTTTAGGACAGGCCGTTCGTTCAGAAATCCGTTTCAGAGTTTATCAACCGCTGCGGTGACGGGTGTTATTATGTTTCAGCTATTTTCAAGTAAATCTAAAGTTGTATCCTGTAGAATCATCACTCATGAGCGCTTTTTTGGTTGGGCAAGATTAAACAATCCTACTTTTAAGACAAGGAAGAAACATATGTATTTAATATTGAGATTATTAACAAGAAGGGTCATCCCATGCCTGGTTTCTTAAACACTAAGGGGGCTTAAAAATTGGGAACTTTGTTAGATTTAAAGTAATATCAGGTAGAGAAAACTTTCAATTGTTTCAGTTTAGGTTCTCCTATGAGTTGAGGATTCTATTAAGGCAATTAATATCCCTTGCAGAGCTGGATAAATTATGTTCTTTATTGTTTTTCACAAATCCTGTTTATTGCAGGAATCCTGTATAATACTTGATAGCTATTTCTGGACAGTGAAGTCCTAGGGATTAATTCCGAGTTGTTTAAAAAGTCTGTTTTGTTTTTAATTGTTGACTTTGCAGTTTAGAAACCACATTCCAAAGCAAAGCTAGCTACTCTATGCAGAGGAAGCACTGTTGTGTACTTTCTGGTTCTTGGCTCTTCTGTGAACTTTTCCCCCAGATAACAACACTGATTTTCTCTTTTTTTTGCCTCTCTCCCCGTGACTCCAGAGCAAAGTCTGAAATGGATGTTACATGAATCATTTTAAGAGCTCCACACAACTATGAACATTTCTGAAGCCTGTTTCTCAGTAAAGTAGATCAAGATGGATGAATCAGCCTTGTTGGATCTTCTGGAGTGTCCGGTGTGTCTAGAACGCCTGGATGCGTCCGCAAAGGTTTTGCCTTGCCAGCATACGTTTTGCAAACGATGTTTGCTGGGGATCATAGGTTCCCGAAATGAACTCAGATGTCCTGAGTGCAGGACTCTGGTTGGCTCCGGAGTAGAGGAGCTTCCCAGTAACATCCTACTGGTCAGACTTTTGGATGGCATCAAGCAGAGGCCTTGGAAACCTGGCCCTGGTGGAGGCAGTGGGAGCAACTGCACAAATGCATTAAGGGCTCAGGGCAGCACCATGGCTAATTGTAGTGGGAAGGATCTGCAGAGCTCCCAGGGTGGACAGCAGCCTCGGATGCAAGCCTGGAGCCCCCCGGTGAGGGTGAGTAGCCCGCAGAGGCAGGTGGGTGAATAAAGGTGGTGATGGTCAAGTCTTCTTCTCTTTAGTTTGGTATTTTCTAAATCAGCTCATTGCTTAAGAAGCACACCTACTGGAACAGACAGATTATACCTTAAGATTTTTTATTTTTTCATCTTGGAATGTGATTGTATATAAATAAATTTCTTGTGTTTTCACATTCTCTCCAGATACTCTCCATTGTCTTTTAAGATACATTTTGGGAAGCAGGTAGCAATCATTCAATGAAATTTAAACAGTGTGTGTGCTCATTTTAAAATGAAAATTTGCTATGGTCTTACCCATGTGATGGAATTGGGAGAGTCGTAATTGTGTAAGTGTATGTACATTAAGTGTGTACATGTGTGTTGTAAATGTGTGTCTGGCTAAATCATAAGTAGGATATCAAGCCTTAATTTTTATGTTGCTTAGCACCAGTCTATTGGTTTTATGAATGCACAGCACAGAATTTACTGGTTGGAGGATTCTTAACAAATCATGGCCACAGGTAGCAGAGTTTCGTTGCTGTAGCAACAGAATGTCACATAGGACTACACTAAAACATCTAGCTGTGTGTTGGCTTTACAGGCAGTGAAATGAAATATTTCCATCAAAATGATTTTTCTTGGTGATGTTAAGTATTTGTACTGTTAGTACAATGTAAATTTCTAGAAGTTAGGGTATCCTAAATAAATATAAATTATGTGTCATGAGTCCCTGATAAATTGTGCTTTTGTTGTTTTTTGTGAATATGAAGAGCAGTCATGGACATCAGCTAATGAAAACCATTCCATTTTTGTTGGAAGAAGCAATTTTGGTAATTGTACAAACTGTTGAAATCTATTTTTAAAGAATGGTTAAGCTGGATGAGGATTTTTTTTTCAAATGTTCATAACCAAAACTTAAAAATGACTTGTTTAACTTAATATAGAACTACCCAGTGGATGGCATTAGATATTATGAATTCATAGATGTGGACATCAGACAGTTATAAAAGTTACAGCTCCCTTCCTTACCCTTCTCAAGCTCATCTTGTGCAAATGCTATAACGTATTTGCATCACTAGATGTCAAGTATGAAAAGTGTTTTAAGCACTAGAAAACTGGATCATAAGGAAATGGTTTCATCATTAGGTTACAAGATTTCTTTTCATTCATACTTAATTTTTTTTTTTTTTTTTTAAAGATAGGGACATCTTTGGGTTAGGGAGGCTTTCTTTCCTTACTTGGAGCCCCACAGGTTGTGACATGGACTGCTTATTCCTTAAGTTTTTATTTGTGGAATGTACTGGACTCATGAGTATTTTAATTTCAGAACCAGTGATCAGGTTGGTAATTTCTGAGACCCTGGGCCCAAGTCTGCTTTACCTTAATGAAAGAGTAGATTTGCATCTTTGGAGAGGTTTTGTTTCCCATTAATTAGACCAGGGAAAAGATAGCTTCTGGCTATGACCAGGAGTGTCTTAGTTGTTGACACAATTGCCTTACCTGTTGTGAGGAATGCAGTGAATGTTTGATCAGTGATAAAAAGGAATTTAAGGAGAGGCTGAAGCATTCAACTGAATATCCATTGAATTGTAAGTTTTCTAATATAGAAATTGACTCTTAAATGCTGCTCGAGTGGATGCTCTTTTATTTGAACTGCTAAGCTCCTAAAATTGAATTTCAGTTTTCTTAGGTAACTTATTTGGAGATTTTGATCATGTTAATATTTCTGGTTCATATGATTTTCTTAATTTGCTTCCTGTTTCTTCTTTGGCACAAGAAACATAACTTGCAAAGAAGCTCAACTGAACTTGAGCCTTATAATTTGATTACCATAATTGATCAAATAGGAGATAGGTATATTACATTGCAAAGGGTGGGGGAGCTGACTAAAACGACAAGTAAAACTACTTAGTAGTCTGAATTGAGACAAATAATGCAATACTGATTAAAAGGAATTTTATTTTCTAGTTTCTTATTTGCTAGTACCTTTGCTCTCAACTACTCACAATAATCAAGGCTACACCTATAATCTAAACACCCAAAAGATACTCCTTTTAAGAGTAAGAAATCAGTAACAAACATGGAGGCTGTAATGCACTCCTTTGGCCACTTACTTCCCTGAGGTGAGTGACCGTAATAAATCCCCAGCATCCATCCTTGTCCCTTAGATGTTCTGACATAACCAAGTGGTGCAGGGAGCTGTTTCCACATGTTGTGCGAAGCTGGAAGTGATAACATGTGGAATGCTGCTTCTACTAGTTATGTCCTACGTTACTGGCGATTGTGACCATGTGGCTTCCTTATGTATTTAGCTGAGGTAGATTGAATGTTATCAGCGGATTCAAACATTTCCAATGTGTGACACACATCTCGTTCCCAGAATTTTAGTGTTTCCTGACTAATATGAAGGAGGAAAAGAAAGAGTGACTGTTGGGTTGGAGTCACCATTGGATCTGCCAGTTCTTTATCTCAAGTAAAGAATTTCTGTTGGGTTTTGGCCAAAATCAAGTAGTGGAATAAGCCACAGAGAGAGAGAGAGAGAGAGAGAGAGAGAGAGAGAGAGAGATGAGATGCTGTTTCAATGGAGTAAAAAATGTACCTATAAAAGATTAGATCTATCTAATCTTCTGAATATTTCATAATGAATATGTATGTATGAATGATGTGGAAAATGTGTTTAAGTAGTTCCTATAAAATTGTGATCTAATAGGATAAATTTTTGCTTTCTATGTGTAGTTCCATTAGCTTGAGATCTTTTCATATCTGTGCATGCATCTGTCACACTGCCTCCATCTTCAAGTGAATTAATTCACTTGAAGCAAAAATAGGTCACATGACCACTGATTTACACTAATTTGTACTTCATTTATTCTTTTCTTTATTTAATAAGTAGATAGTAAGTGCTCTGAATATGGATTGGAAAGATCACTAAAGTGCTTTAAACCGAGGTCACATGCATGGACATGAGTCCTGTATCACTGGTGCCCTCATAAGCAGGGGAGATTGAGGCACAGAGGGGAGACCATGGAAGACATAGAGAAGGCCCATATACAATGTAAGGAGAGAGGCATCAGAACAAACCAACCTGCTAAAACCTTCATCTTTGACTCCAGAACTGAGAGGAAATAAACTTCTGTTGACAGCATCCAGGCTGCCAGTGACTGCACATACGATTCAAGGTTGGTCCCTTGAGTGATGCCTTGGTCCACTGCCAGTTCCTTCTGTTTCTCCCAGAGATCTGTGGTGGGCCGGCCCGCCTCTGTCTTTCCTTGTATAAGTAGAACACCCTTGATTAGTTGTTCAGGCTCTCCCTAACCCCTCAACTACCCAAATTTACTGGTTTAATTTCATAAAATGTTACAAGAAAATTGAAGTGTATGTGATAATATACCAGCCATCCAGAAAGTTTTGGAGGAGAGAAAAGAAAATATCAGAAGGGGAGAATGCCTACTTCCTAACAAGGTTGGGTTCATCTGTTGCTGGAGTCTGGAGAGCTATGACTTACTGGTGTCTGTGGCATTACTCAAAGGAAAGGCAGCAGAAAGCATGGAAGGCAAGATGTGGGAGAAAGCAAGACAACAGAGGTGCTCCAGTTAGAGTACAGAAAGCTGCTTCCAGCTATAAATGGCATCTTGGGCCATTTTCGATGTCTCATGAAAGAACATCTGTCTAGGGGCATCATTCAGACTCAATTCTGTGCTAGGATCTATACTATGCCAGGACAAAAGTGACATTAGTGCATGTTTCTGCTCAAAAGGTTGCATTCTAGGGAGGTAAAATGAGTGGGAATCAGCAAATAAGGCAACATACTGTGAAGCAGCAAGGGATGGGATAAGATGGAGACTAAGTCTGTGTTTAATGAGGTTTGTGTTGAGTGGTCACTGGCTTAAGTGCACAGAGTGTGGACTAAGGGTGGGTTCTGGTGGCCAGGGCATGTTCCTTTCATGTGCAGAAGGGTCAGGTCAAACGTTGTGAACAGAATTGATGTCTCTGCCTAGGTGGTGATGGGGGTCTGCATTAACTCATACTGACCTATGCAAGACATTTGATGAGGTGGTTTGGATAAGGGAGCTGTTTTGATGTTTCAGAGTGGCTGAATTGAAACAGAAAAGGTGTTGTTTTGGGTCAAATGTTGCAGATACTCTTGACTTTGTATTTTTATTCATCATTTCATCTTTGATCCCTTATTCCTACTCCTGTCTGCTCTTCATCTTTGACCTTTACATTTTCCTAAGTCAGGCTTAATGGTAAGCCTGGGATCCTTTTTTTTTTTTACTTGTGCATGTTTTGTGTTTTGCTAGGAATCAAATCCAAGGCCTCACACATGCTAGCAAGTGTTCTACCACTAAGCTATACTTCCAGCCCTAGGCTCTGGGATCTTGAATGGGGTAGAAGATGTGAACAAGGGAGTCTTTGGTGTATACTGATTGGTAATTTAAATAGAGAAATGCCTAATTTTTTTTAATATCATACTTATCATGTAACCCTAGTCATATAAATCTCACAATTCCTTTCTGGGGTGAAGTATTAATTAAAAAAATGAAAAAATGTAAATACCTTTTGGTTGTATGAAAATTTGACATTATAGAAGTATGTTATTAAGTGTGTTTATATCCTTCTAGATTTTGTATATAGTTATATGTGTGTTTATATATACATATAGATAGGTTTTTTGTTTTTATATAAATAGAAATTTATACTCTATGTAGCCAATGAATTGTTAATTCATTTAATATGTCTGTGTAATCCTTTCATATTGGAGAATATAGTTCAGCCTCATCAAAAAAAAGTCTTTGGATTGATGGCGTGGCACAAGCAGTAGAGTACCTATATAGCAAGCACAAGGCTAAGTTCAGCCCTCAGAACCACAAAAAAATCTACAAAAAACAAAACAACACAAAAATCTTTGTTCATGTACAATATACATGCAGAAAAGTATACATACTGTAAGTACACCACTCTTTAATTACCATATTTCCTTCTTTTGAAAATAGCTAC